ATGCAGTGTTGTGGAAAACTTCTTTTGGATTCATTTGAGACATATTAAACTTTTAAAAGATCTGTAAATCCTGAGTTTGAGCGCAAATTCGACGTTCAAAACTCCTACTTTGGGGGTGGATACGTTTTCAGAAAGTTTTTTAAAATTATTAAATAAAGACGACATAAAATGTAAAAAAAGTTCTACAATTTTCTCATTATTCTGGTTTCCCATTTTTCACAAAGATTTTTTTCAGATGTTCTAGAATTATTATTGAATTATTATTGCAAAGACGACATTTGAAGAATTTCAAGAAATTTGCGAATAAATTCAAAGAAGATAAGAAATTCAATATAATAATGAAAACGAAATAATCGATTTTAGCATTGATTTATTGGCAAATTTCTTTTGAGAAATATGTTCCTAACCATCTAATTAGATTACTGTATAATTTTTACTTTATTTTTCGTTGTCGTTATTTAATAATTAAAAAAAACTAATTCTGAAAACGTATCCACCCCCAAAGTAGGAGTTTTGAATTTGAATTTGCGCTCTCAGGATTTACAGATCTTTAAAATGTTCAATATGTCTCAAATGAATCAGAAAGAAGTTTTCCACAACACTGCATACTCAGTTCAACTACCTTACATAGCCGGTCAATCCCTTTAAAGTAAAGACCTGTCGTATATGAATTTAGATCATGTTCAATATTTGTTTTGACTAATAAATAGTTATTAAAAAATAACAACGGTTTTACATATATTTCAACTACAAATAACTGGATTTTTATAGTCAACTAGTTTAATAATGAGATATGAATTGAGTCTTTGCCGCAAATTTTGATTTTTTAATCCCTAAGACATTTCAAACTATGATTTCTGTTATGTCAAATAATATAAGCTTTAAATGTCCAAGGTTTTCACCATCAGGGGACAAAGATGTATAGGCATAAGAAGAAATATCAAGGGTGCATGGTCGCAAAGATATATATATATAAGGTTTAGAAATTTGAGTTAGTGGCGAAGACTAAATTCCTTTCTAGAAATTTTACATTTTTTATGGTTGATTTTGAAAAACAAACATTTGAGCAAAACTCCTTTTCTTTTAACAAAGAAATATAACGAAATTTTGAATAAGCTAATCAGTTGGTTCTTGAGACTAACATTTGATTCTGTTTAGATAAACTAGACTCTCTCATCTACCCTTAGTTTAACTCTTCACAACAATGAAAAATGAGATTTTGGCCGATTTAAATTAGATTCACACTTTTCAAAGTTGTTTACTTTCCCCCCTCCCCTCCTCATCCTTAACCAAAACCTGATTTTTAGTTAAAATTCGATAAAAAACATTAAGTTAAATTAAGGATTAAAATTAGAAGATTAGCATATTATTATTAGATTATAAAAAGAATTCAAACTATGTAACACGAAGTTTGAAAGATTTGAAGATTTTTAAAAACATTTTTGACCATAATATTGACCCTATGATCGAATTAGAATTTGAAAAAAAGATAAAGAATATTCGATTGATATGTTAAAGATTGAATGATTTATTCAAAATGAGTGTTTATCATCCCAAGGAGAAATAAAGTATTTTAATATATTGCTAAGCGATTTGGGCTGGAAAAAAGGTCATGGCTGTAAAATTCGACATTAGAAAAAAAATTGAGAGGTCTTATTTTTCCATCTTATATTAACTGACCTAGTGTTTATGCGTCTACACTGTTCAATGACTATCTTTCAACTGAAGGATTTCCTGTGAAGTACCGTGACGCAGATTTGCGTATTCTCTTTCTTTCTAACTAACGGATGATGTTACTTTTGTCCAATCATTGATTTATAAGGATTTATATTTACGCATTTTTTCCTAGATGAAAAGTTAGACCCACTTAAAAAAAGCATGCATCTTGATCTTTTTGTTTATCAACCTGAGAAAAAATCGTAAATTTTTTTCTTGAAAACTGTTAATTTCTGACAACTTTTTTCATTTTTTCCGCTGCATAACACGAACAGTCACTTTTAAAGAGTAACCAGGATCAGAGATAAACACAGTTCGGTAGAAAAACTATTCGTCCTATATTCGTCATATATTCGTCCTTCCGCTGGAAATTATGCCATTTAGTCACTTACAAAATTATTCTTTGCTATTCACCGGTAATCATCGATCCTTAGTCAAGAAGTTCTAAAGTGTTACTAACTGCATTTACTGCATAAACATTAATTATACAATATGCATGCTAGTTCATTTCAAATCCTGAAAGACCAGTACACCCAAGTCTCGAGATTAGACACGCGACCTAGTCCTACGTGTACACATTTAGGTAGAGTTTAGTGTTAACACATTTAGGTAGAGTTTAGTATGTGTAAATGTGAAGAAATCTGAATTGTGTATCCCAGTAAACAATAAATGTTATTTCAAAGTTCTCATTATTAATTATCTGTAAATACTTTTTTTAAGTAGTGCATCCTATAGGTTTATTTATTTATTATTTTTATCTATAAAATTAAATGAGGTTTTTATAGATATTTAGACAGTTTATTTTTTTATAATATCATCTGTTTTGACTTTGATTGGATTACTTCAAAAAAACATAAAGAAAATAGATCAAAGATAATTTATTCATCGTTACTTAATTTCTACTTCTATCCCCCAACAGGTCCATCTTCTAGCCTCTTTAAACAGTGCAAAATTTAAAATTGTGCTGTGGTCTATATTCAGTCTTTGATTTATATATGTAGCATCAGTGAATAGATTCCTTGCCCTTAACACAGTCCTAAACGGATGAACCCACGTGTTTAAATATGAGAAGAGGAGCAGAGGTTTAAGACTTCAGGAGGAATACGCGAGGAATTCAATTCTAGAGTCACTTCCAAAAATTACAGAAATAACCAGAAAATTCTGGAATAGTAAGTCGACTTTTAGACTCAAGTTAAAAATAAATAAATAAATAAATAAAAAATAATTATCATTAAAAAATAATAAAAATATAAATAAATTATTAGTTCAGCAGTCTCTGAATATATGGAATGGCAGATTTTCTATATTTTTCCGTCCTGGAATGATACTGCTCCTGGTGGCGTAGAATTAGTGTTCATGTTGGTGAACTGCAGCAGGGAAGAGATGACAATGTTAAGAAGGTTTAATACATGCTCCTGGTGGCGTAGTTGTTGGTGTTCATGTTGATGAACTGCAGCAGGGAAGAGATGACAATGTTAAGAAGATTTAATACATTTCTTTGCCAAAGAGAGGGATAGCTTGTCCCTTCTTGACTCCAGGATCTCCAGTTCACAGGACTCCAGTGCACTTATATATCCAACATAATCTTTGCCCAGAACAATTTTTAGGCAAACTCTCTGTACCCGTTCAAGGGCATTGTTTTGGTGAACTGTGAGAGAAGAGTGCTATACAACACAACAGTACTCGACATTACATCTAATAAAGGTTTTTTAGATTGTTAATAGGTCTTCCATTTTCATCCCAACATACTTCAGCTTAGAGAGGAGAGATATCCTGGCACGTAATTACTTTAAATAATTAAATGAACATAAAGCACAGGCCCAGGCGCGTAGTGGGGGGCCGGTACCCCTGTGCCCCCCCCTTGACATGCACCTCCCTAGGCCCCCCTAGAGGTTTTTGCTCTTTTACTACTAGATTTTATCATGGTATGATTGGTAATTATGGTCAGATGACTAACAGTCATGCCTTCAGATAATATAGATTTTAAACTTTATTTTTCTCTTACTACCGGTTTTTTAGGGGGGTGCACATCAACCATTAGGGGAATGCACAAAAAAAATTTCGCAGCGCTTACGCGCGAAAAAAGTTCACCCCCCTTGGCTAAACCTCCACTTCGCGCCTCTGCAAAGTAATTGTGCTATGTATGTTAACAGACCCATTTCACTTAATGAGGGATTTAATGACTTACTAAATCATTTGCTTAGTAAGAACATCAAACACTAGAATGTCGTCAATTTCTATTTTACACTTTTCTGGTTATCATTGTATGTTTACTTTTCCCCTAAATGCGGCAATGCACATTGTACAGCGTATCTTCAAGGTTAGTAAAAATATCATAAAAATTAAAATAAATAAACATTTCAAAAATAAATTATCATTTGTAAACTTTTTTTAGAAGGTTCTTCTTTGGAAATATTTTAATTAAAGAGGAGTGTTTAATTACAACAAGTTAATAATAGACTAGGCCTGGGCGTCGTTCCGGGGACCGATCGTTTATTCACGGAACAAACGGAACGGAGCGAACGATTTCAAAAAAGTAAGAACACGCCCAACCCTATAATTATAGACTAGCAGTTTATCTGGGGGAAAAAGAACCTCTGTTTGATTTAACTATTTAATGTATCGCCATATTCTTTTTTTACATAATTTGCTCCATAGGTCCTTTTTTACTATAAGTGGAATCCACTCGTTTTACATACATATAGCCGGGTGTCTTTACTTGCTGAAAAGATAATGTTGTGAATCGAAAACACCACGCTATCAATGGATGGTTACTTGAAATTAGGTATAACGTTCCTTTCAAACTTTTAAGTGTTTTTATTCTTAGAACTAGTCATACCCTCCCTAAGCTTATTGTTAACTGGTGATATCTGGAAAAAGGTGACCAACCTTCAATAAAAACAAGTTAGGATGCAAAATGAAGTACGCGCCCTAAAAATAACGTCCTAGTGCCCACAAATGTTGCTCTATTCCGGGGAATCACATTCACAGCATATATTTTACGTTTTAAAGTTGGAGTAAAAAAATCACCTGAAAATATGAAAATTAAACCGAATTAATTTTTTCAATATGCAACAACAAAAAGGTTCAAATAAACGAATGTGAAACGCACCCTTTGCATGGCATGCGTAACTTGTAAGCGCAGCAAAAAATTTTTGTTTTCTGAACTTTAACTTGAATTTTGTAAATTACTTTTCGTTCTCACAATGACTAAGTTTCTCGATTTCATGTTTTTTTAACGACATTAGATTGCAGAATGTATGCAAGGCAGGTTGAACAAGATTTCAAGGAACACTGATATATCCGGCACTGATATATCCGGCACTGATATATCCGGCACTGATATATCCGGCACTGATATATCCGCCACTGATATATCCGCCACTGATATATCCGGCACTGATATATCCGGCACTGATATATCCGCCACTGATATATCCGGCACTGATATATCCGCCACTGATATATCCGGCACTGATATATCCGGCACTGATATTTCCGACACTGATATATCCGGCACTGATATATCCGGCACTGATATATCCAGCCCTGATATATCCGGCACTGATATATCCGCCACTGATATATCCGCCACTGATATATCCGCCACTGATATATCCGACACTGATATATCCGACACTGATATATCCGGCACTGATATATCCGGCACTGATATATCCGGCACTTTTTCTATCCATTTCTCTGTAAATCCTGGATAATTGTAAACATTCTTGGATTTCCTAGAATATTTATATTAACAATCAAAGAAAACATGTTAAAGGGAGTGACCGGCTATGTAAGTGTATGAGTATGCAGTGTTGTGGAAAACTTCTTTCTTTCGGATTTATTTGAGACATATTAAAGTTTGAGCGCAAATTCGACGTTCAAAACTCCTACTTTGTGGGTGGATACGTTTCAGAATTAGTTTTTTTAAATTATTAAATAACGACAACGAAAAATAAAGTAAAAATTATACAGTAATCTAATTTGATGGTTAGGTACACATTTTTCAAAAGAAATTTGTCAATAAATCAAGGCTAAAATCGATTATTTAGTTTTCATTATTATATTAAATTTCTTATTTTCTTAGAATTTATTCGTAGATTTCTTGAAATTCTTCAAATGTCGTCTTTTCAATAATAATTCTAGAAAATCTGCAAAAAAATCTTTGTGAATAATGAGAAACCAGAATAATGAGAAAATAGAAACTAATAATTGAACAGGATTACTTATTTTCGATGATATGATTAATTTTATTTCCTCAACATACATGACGTCTGTAGTTTATTGTAGAACTTTTTTACACTTTATGTCGTCGTTATTCAATAACTTAAAAAAATAATTCTGAAAACGTATCCACCCCCAAAATAGTTTTGAACGTCGAATTTGCGCTCAAACTCAGGATTTACAGCTCTTTAAAAAGTTTAATATGTCTCAAATGAATCCGAAAGAAGTTTTCCACAACACAGATTCAGCCTCCTTATAAACAGTCTCATCAATTTTTAAGACAGGGCTGACTTTGAAGTGTCGCAACGCCCTAAGCTTAAATTTTACCGCTCTAACTCACTTATGCTTTTCTGTAGCCCTTTACATGTACATTTTAGCACTGTAAAGCACTTGTTGTTAGATGTGGTTTTTTAAGAAGTTATTGGCAAAATTCTCAACGATTTTTGCTTGAGAGCGTGAGACCATTAAATCGCAGTGGGACTAATTGATGATTAATTAAACAGCAGGGATATTTGCTAGTTTAGGCCTCCCTCCCTCGTTAGCGGGAAGATTAGCTAGTTGAGGCCTCCCCCTTCGTTAGCGGGAAGATTAGCTAGTTTAGGCCTCCCTCCCTTGTTAGCGGGAATATTAGCTAGTTTAGGCCTCCCCCCTCGTTAGCGGGAAGATTTGCTAGTTTAGGCCTCCCTCCCTCGTTAGCGAGGAGATATGCTAGTTTATGCCTCCCCCTCGTTAGCGGGAAGATTAGCTAGTTTAGGTCTCCTTGTTACCGGGGAGATTTTCTAGTTTGGACCTCCCTCCCTCGTTAGCGGGGAGATTAGCTAGTTAAGGCATTCCTTCCTCGTTAGCGGGGAGATTTGCTAGTTTAGGCCTTCCCCCCTCCCTTCTTAGCGGGGAGATTGATTTGCTAGTAAGGTCTCCCTTACTTGTTAGCGGGGAGATTTGCTAGGTTAGGCCTCCCTCCCTTGTTAGCAGAGAGATTTGCTAGTTTAGGCCTCCCTCCCTTGTTTGCGGGGAGATTTGCTAGTTTAGGCCTCCCTCTCTTGTTAGCGGGGAGATTTGCTAGTTTAGGCCTCCCTCTCTTGTTAGCGGGGAGATTTGCTAGTTTAGGCCTCCCTCGTTAACGTGCATAGTTTAGAATTATTTTAGCCACAGAGGTATTTACTACATTTATCCTTTGTCCTGGTCCAGAAGCATACGCAATGTGCATTGTGCACTGTAACTTGGCTGTCAAAAATCATTTTAACTTTTTCTAAATTTTTATTCTTTTTTAGTGTCTAATGATGACCCCGTAGAGCTCAAGGGACTTTACCGAACAAGAATCTCTAATCTAAGAGGATCAGTTTATTTTGGTTGGCATGGCTTACAAGGACACGCTATATATACCGTTGATTCCGTTAGGTTGGATACACCGTTAACTGCAGTAAAAACTCAACCCAAGAAATGCATTGTTTAATGCTGGGTGAGGGGTTTATGATCTAACACTTTTGCAGTATCTAGTGCAGATGTTCCCATCTATCCATCTTTCTATCTATCTATCTATTTACTCATCAAATAGTCATTTTTCTAGACCAAACTCTATACTCTATGCGTATATTTTTGCAATCACAATGTTGAATGTAGAAAGTGATTTGACAATTAAATTTTGACGCAAGATGAACAATTCTTTTCGGCATATATTAACCTTTGAGGCTCAATAGGGTTGTATTTTTGAAGACATGTCAAAGAGTGATTGAGCTCTTTTTATTTTTAAATAATATAAGTGTACTTTAAACTGAAATTGTTTGCATCTGAAAGGGACTGAAAGCGTATTCTAAAGTAACTCTTCTACTATGGAGTTACATTTACAATTAACAACACTACCCTAAATATCTTTTTCGGATTATGATGAATGATAAATCCTTTTTTTCAGAGTAAATTTTGATTATTTTGAAATTGAATCTTGGTTACTCTTCAAAATGTTAAGTATACAATTATCAGAACTCACATCAAGATAGAAAACTAGGATATTTTATCCATTTTTGATTTAAAAAAGTTAAATAAGGGTACCACTGGGAATCAGACTTACCGGAGCACGTGGATTCAACGGTTCTGGCAATATTTCAGAAAGCTGTGACTTTTGATCACAAATTGACCCCTTATACATAATTTTATTGCCTATTTTTCTGAAATAATTTTTGGTGGCGTATACATTTTGAATAAAAAAGTATAAAATATATAAATCTGTAAGTTTAAAGAGTGTTGAATTATAGACCAAAACACGTTTGATTTCAAATATAAGAAACCGAATGCTTCTCTATCTGGTTAGTTCGGGGTGGGAGTATAACTTGAAAATATGCTCCAGTTAATAACATGCAACTTAACCAAGCTCTCTTGTCAACAAACAGGTATTCAGTTTTCGTGAGGGGTTAGATAATATATTTATACATATCCCATTTTAATCCTTTAAATTAATCAGTTTACATCAGAAATAATTACCAAATTTGACAGAAGGAACTGATTATTCGCTTCAAACTCTAACTTTTGAATCTCATATATTTCTTTGCAACATGAGTGTGTTAATCTACATAATAAAACAAGACATTTGTATATATATATATATATATATATATATATATATATATATATATATGTTATCTATAGCCGGCCCAACGGCTGGACCGATTGGACTGATTTTTTTTGTGGACACTCATGGGTGGCCAGTGAGTGTTAAAGGCTAAAAAAATTCGAAATTTATTTGTTCAAAATATTTTTTTCAATATTTTTTTTTCAATTTTTTTTCGCGGACAATGCCGGGCCCTTCAGCTAGTCTTTTATATAATTTAAACATTTAATCAAACAGAACTCCAGAATCAACGACATTCGACGTTGGAAATAAAATGGTTAGGAAATTATTAAGTCTGACGCGAGTAATCAGTTCTAGTTTTTACTTTTCAAACATCAACGTATATTATCGATCTGTGTTAAACCACACTCTCTCTACAAGTTTAAAATATATTCAACAATTAATTTAAATCTATACAACTGGATACGTCATGGGTTTTTTATTGTTCTGTTTTGAGATATTTGAAATATATGCTCAAGACAATGACAATGGTAGAATTGAGTATATTTAAAGTTGATTTAAGGAGTTGTAAGAATGGTATCTAATAATCTAGCCTGTTCTTGGCAGCCATTTTTCAACTTTACAGTTGCTAACTGTTTAGAGGATGTGCATCAATAATGGGTAAAGGGTTGTTAAAAAATTGTTTTACTTGAAACTAACTTTTTTAAAGATACTGTAAGAGTAATTTCAATTAAACTGCAATTTAAAGAGGGGTGTACCTGATTCACATCTTTAAATGGTCAAGGGTGGCGGCCGGCAGACTTTTCCTTATTTATTAACTGAAGCGGTTGTAATTGCTGAACACTTTGTTTGCAAGCTGTATTATATTTAAGGCCGCGAAAAGCTCACACAGCACGCTAGCGAACAGTCCAGATCTACGGCTTTTTACACAAAATTAATGAGATATAACCACGAAGTTCTTGATGCTCAGTAAAAGGTTTAAAGGGTACCGTTGTGAACCGGGATGCCCCTATTTAAATGGAAGGTCACTGAAAATGATGCTTACAGTCTCTTTAATTTAGAAAACGATAAAGGTTATATGGTTACCGTTGTAAATCGTGCATGTTCTCTTTAAATGGAAGATATCACTTCAAATTACAACAACATTCCCTACGGAGAAGGTTAACGAACGGTTTGAATAAATACTGCCTCTAAATTTTTTCGGTTAATTCGTTTACAAAAATGTTCGATTACAGTAAAATCTACAAAATCTTAAATTATTATAATACACGAAGGTAAAAAACCCCTCTGTTGTAATTGTCCACAGTTTTCTTGATATTGAAATTCTGAAAACAAATTAACTCGGAGATAAATAATTCTAGAACCCTCTCTATCATCTCTAGTCCTCTGTCTTTTTATCTTATGTCATCTTCATCCATTCATTCTAGCTGTAAATACTTGCTACCTTCTCAATCCTATCTTATTATGTATCACTTCTGCATAATAATAATGTTAAATCTAACGGTACATTAAAACTTGTTTGGGTGTGTTTAACTTACATTTGAGAAAAGCTTCTAAATTTGTCCTTATCCTTCTCCCCATCCCCCCCACCCAACTTACAAGCCACAGGCGCCTCTATAGATGTTTCTTGCCCCAAAATAAAAAAATGGGGTCATCGAGTTGAGGTGTGTGCGTTAGGGGTTAGGGGGTTGGGGGTGGAGTGTCAACCGGAAATCATAAATACCTGTTATACATTCCAATATTATTACTCGAGCCTGATAATTCCCAGTTTGTGTCTTCTTATATTAATCCTTAACATTACTTCCTATAATATTCCCATAATATTATTAATAATAATAGTTCTTAATAATATTCCCATGCTATTTTTCCCGGTAATATTTCCATAATATTGCTCCTAATAATATTCCCATATTATTCGTAATAATATTCCCATAAAATTATTACTAATAATATTTTCATAATATTACTCGTAATAATATTCCCATAAAATTATTACAAATAATATTTCCATAATATTACTCGTAATAATATTCCCATAAAATTATTACTAATAATATTTCCATAATATTACTCGTAATAATATTCCCATAAAATTATTACAAATAATATTCCCATAATATTTACTCATTATGATATTCCCATGATATTTATCCTTTTAATATTTCCAAAATTATTACTAATAATATTTGCGACTGGTACGAGCTTGTGCCGCGTAGCTCCACTAGTTTTGATTCAACGCACCACAATTAAGCATGACTAAAGCAAATTATTTTTTTCATCTTAGAAATACAAAACATTTTTGTTCTTTTAAATGGAGTTATGAAAGAAAGCATAAATAAGATTTTGACGTGCAATTTATTTTAGCTTGACGACCACATTGCTGAAAAATTGGTTCTCCCGACAACATATATATGTATTTTGTTGATTTGAACAATTGTCTGCTATGGAGTATGGACATACGTGTCTAAAAATATAATATAGTTATTATGAAAAAAGAAAGCTTAACGATAGATTGATAGAAAGATAGATAGATAGATATAGATAGATAAGATTAAGAATTAGGTTGCAAGATAGATAGAAAGGTGAATGCATAGCTTTGGGTCAGCTGTATAGGACTTCCGGGGGGGACTAGCAGAAAACAGGGATAGTTCTTTCTCTTGTGTCAAAGAAAAAAAAAAAATTTCACGCTCTATTTTTGAATTCTTGCACATATTTTTTACCTTCGATTTTTTTAAACAAAATGAAAAAAAATAATTTCCTAAAAAGCGATAATTCGTGAAAAAAGAAAAGTTTTAAAAGATTTGAATGGAGGGGTGGAAATGGGGGGTTCATCTCTGAAAATATATATCAAGGTTTGTGAGAAAGCAGTCTTCTATTGCTTGTCCACATGTCGAGGGTTGAGAAGTGAAAATATGTCTGCAGAAAAAGTATTCTAGATTTTTCATGACGTACAGGGTGTATTCATGACCTTATAGTGTATATTCATGACGGTATAGGGTGTACACATGACGGTACAGGGTGTATTCATGACGGTACAGGGTGTATTCATGACCGTACAGGGTGTATTCATGATCGGGTGTATTCATGACGGTACAGGGTGTATTCATGACCGTACAGGGTGTATTCATGACCGTACAGGGTGTATTTATGACGAAATAGGGTGTATTAATGACCGTACATGGTGCATTCATGACCGTACAGTGTGTATTCATGCCCGTACAGGGTGTATTCATGACGGTGCAGGGTGTATTCATGACCGTACAGGGTGTATTTATGACGGAATAGGGTGTATTAATGACCGTACAGGGTGTATTCATTACCATACAGGGTGTATTCATTACCGTACAGGGTGTATTCATGACCGTACAGGGTGTATTCATGACAGTAAAAGGTGGATTTATTACAGTACAGGGTGTATTCATGACCATACAGGGTGTATTCATGACCGTACAGGGTGTATTCATGACAGTACAAGGTGGATTTATGACAGTACAATTTAAAACTAAATTTTTTTTTAAATCATCGATAAATATGACATTTAAAAAAAGTAACAACATAGTTGTCATAATTGTTTAGCGTATACCTTTTTGATCATTTCAAGAGTTTTAATCATTTAATATTCTGATATTTAGCTTTGAAAAAAAAATATTAGAAAATAAGTCAAAGGAACTGAGTTTTTGCCACAAACTCAAATTTGTTAATCCCCATTTCTTTACAACCCAATGTTGTAGACCTTTGATAATTCAAACTTTGAATTCTGTTAGATCAAATAAGATTTGAAATATCAAAAAATATACACCAACTGGGTGGAGTGCAAATGTTTAGGAATTGGAAAATTTTAGTTTGTGGCAAAAACTCAGTTTCTTTGGAAATTGTTTTTTAATGTTGTTAAATTAACAGCTGGAAAGTATTTAGATGAAAGAAAATTATACCCAATCATAAATTCTGATAAAATACTTACAGATTAATAAAAGAAGTATAAAAATATATATAACAATGGAGGGAACGGAAGTAAGATTAGAAAAGTAGGGTTAAAATCTAAGAAGAAAAAGAAGAGTTTGTACGACATGAAGTAATGTTAGAAACGAATATGTTAGTGAGAGGGGGGAGTTATTTAATACGTGTCGATTCAAAAAATAAAGGGGGGGGAGGGTAAATAACGTGTGTAAATATGTTTAAAGGGGGGAGGGGGGTAACAGGTGCGGGACTTAATGGGTTAAGACGTTTTACCTTGTTTTGACAAATATACTTTCTTCGTATGGGAGCCTGGGAGGGGTTATAAAGGGGAATAAATAAGATTTAGTTTCAGAAACAGAATTTTTAGAAATAAAATATATTATTTTTCAGTATTTGGGAGATGAGAATGAAATGATATTATGAAATATTCCTGGAGAGTAATGCTACAATTTTAAACAAGAAAGAATAAAAAAATGTTTTCCTGTTTTCGCTTTAAATTGACAAAACTATTGTGAAAAGCATTTTCAGTGATATGTAATAGTTGAAATGTTTTTGATAACATTTTTAATGTAATATGTAAAATTCTATTCTAAAAACATTAAACTTTCAAAGAAAAGAGAAAAAATACCAAATAAACTCGCAAACATTAGATTATTTTTTTGTTTTTCATGAAACCTTTTAACTCATCGTTGAGTGAATAATTAGGTTGCGCTACTGAAACTGTTTATATTTCGACCCTATTCTTACAGATATATTTTCTAAACAAATTAGTTAAGAAAACAAACACTCCAAAATGCTGCTAAAATAAAGACGACATTCTCTGGCGAAGTGAAAGCAACTTCACAAACATGTCTTGTAAGTATAAACAGCGTTACCTAAAAAAGATGAGACTGAAAAGACGACTGCCTGGATTTTTTCCGCTTTTTTTTCATTCATGGTTCCCCGCTGCAAAAACATGATTTTTTCTTTTTCCGATTTTCTGATATGATCCACTAAAAGACCGTATTTCAGACAGAAACCAAATGCAACTCTCACCCTAAAATAAGCTTTCGGTGCATATAAATTACAGTGATCTGCAGTACACTGACCGAAAATAAAGTGGGGTTTAGTTAAGAATGCGCTAAAATGGTTTTATTAAAAGAGTTTCAGGTCGTCATTAAATTCTGATTCTTTGCGGGTAACCCTGTATCAAGAAAACTTTAGAGAATGATATAGTGAGAACAAAATCTGATAAATTGATATTTTTACAGCGACCCCCACCAGGAAATACAGTGCTGGAGGGGGGCAGAGACCAGGGTTTCATCGACAAGGAACAGAATCCCCTGTAGGGTAGGATCTTTTTCCTTTTTTTCAATTATATGATATTTACTTAGAAAAAAAGACGAAAACTCGAAAATGAACTTTAATCTTTTTAATTATTTTTGTTTATTTATTCATTCCATGGACACATCTTCTTATTCATTGTAGTTTATTCAGTTTATCTCAACATTTCCAAACAAAATTTTTTTTGAGAGAGATTATTCTTTTGTTAAATTTTAATCAGTTTATTTTAGTTCTAAACTTAATTTTCTAAATATTCGAACCAATATTTCTAAAATTCTCCAAATATTAAATTTTTAAAATTTAAGGTTAGATTAAAATAAGTGATTTTTTAATAAGCACTTGATCACAATCTCTTGATTCATTAAACATGACCAAATTGCTTATCTTCATTTTGATACCTATTTGCCTGAAGGTATGGAGAGAGGGTGGAGAGAACAAGAAGAATGTCCGGGTCCGGCCAAATGCTGTTCCCAACCGGTTTAGGTACACGATCCACTCTAGTATGCCGAGTCCATTAGCGCCTGATCCAATTAGGGTTCAGCCATGTGTTTGGTGTCTATTCTGAACCAATAGAAATTGCATGGCGGTAACATCTATCAATTTCTATCTAGCTTATTATCCAATAAGAGATAAATCCTTATATCGGCGCTACAACAGTAAATGGAAATACTTACTGATGACGACTAAATCAGGGCCAAGCAAGGACCGAAAGTCGCAAATCAGGGCGTCTTTCTTTAAACTTTTCTCGACCGAAAAAAAACCTTCTTTTTAAGATAAAAAGTTTATTTATTAACAAATCAGGACGAACTTTTTCGGTCAACCTTGTCATAAACTTGGTAAAGCAGGTTCAAAAATCAATTTTCCATCTTTATCTTTTACTTGAATGCAATATCAGTTACTAAAAGTAGACTTCATTTTGTAAATCTCATTTTAATGGTTTTTTTATTTTATTGCTCTTATAAAGTTCGCAAAATTATCAAATTTGATATTGTATATGTTATGTTGCTCGTAATATTTTGTTAGAAAGGTTATGTAAAAATGAATCCGCTTTTTTCTCAATATATTAGTAGCCAGAAAACTGAACAATTAATGTCGTCTTCCGTTTACATATCAAATGTCTCCGAGGATTTAGTAATTTTTTATCGTTATTACCAATTAATGTTTAAAAATGTTCCGGTCTCATTCTTAAAAGTTAGTTACAATTATAAAATCCTGAACAACATTTTACAATAAAAAGAAAAGAAAAAAAGACGACAATCATTCCACTACTTTTTGATACCACTGTATGTATATTAATTTCAGGACCAAACCGTATGTCCCCAGGCCCGTACACCCAGGACCGTAGAACACCAAACCGTTCTACAAACCCTTCAAGCCAAACATTCAGGCCAATACCTCAGGTATTCAAGTCTATTCAAGCCTATTTAACGGATAATTAGGCATTCTTAGAATTTAAACTGTTGAAACACTTAAAATGTTGATTACATTACTTTAAGGGAAATAGCAGAGAAGATAGTTATTAATAGGACATATGTGACTCTCGTAATACAGGGTTAGCCCCAAAGTTTAAACTTAAATAACGAACTAAAACTCTAAAAATAAAAGATTTAAAGGTTAAATTTTGTTTTCTGTTTTTTTTTTATATAAGTTTTTGAATAGTATATAAAATGATTTAAGAAACAAAAGTAATACAATTGCAGTAAACTAAATATATGTTTAATAAAAATGTGATCTTTCTGTGTCTGAATGGAAATTTCTTCCATTAATTCCATGCAGCTTTATACATGTTTTTTTGTCTACCAATTTGTTCATTGTTTACATTATCAAATAAAAATCAACCATAGATTTTCATGTACAAGTTTTTGGTCGCCATTTAAGTCTCATCCTTTGTGTGTCACCAATTTTACAACGGATTTCATTACAATATCTTTTATAATATTTGTATATGTGATGATAAGTAATTTTGCATCTTATCGATATATATGCTGAAAACTAAAGTTTTCAAAATTCTAAATATTTAGTTGTTTTGTTGTTTTTATTTTCTCTTCTTTTCAGCTTGGGTTCTTGTTTTAAGTAAAAATATTTTAATTACAAAATTTGTCCTCAATAATTGGTATGTCTAATGCATCTGTTAATTGTTATTTCTATTATCTTGTTAATCACTATAAATGTCATGATATCCTGATTTCTTGTTTTTCTTGTTTCTGTTGCATCGAATTGTATATTTAGTTTAATATCCTAACTATTTTTGAAAATTATATTGTAAACAACTATTTGTGCAAAATCCTTGAACTTGTTCAAATAAACATAGTTTTGCATCGTGTATTCCTACAACTTATGATTTAACCAGAATAAATTGGTGCAACTAATATAACTCTTAAAATTGGTTTAAATATCTTTAGAAAAGTTTACAAATTACAAAATCCTTTGCGACATTTTAAGGACAAAAACGACGAGAATTCCACTGTTTTCTGGATCTTTATTTTGCCCCTCTTTTTTATACTCCTTATTTTCTCATTTTCTCGAAAAAAAGAAATTGAGTTTTTGCCACAAACTCTGATTTTAATCCCAATATCTTTGCAATTTTTGTTAGATCAAATAATCTGAGTTTGAATTATCAAAGAATTTTAACATCAGGTTGCAAAGATATAGGTATTAAAAAATTTTAATTTGCAGCAAAGACTCAGTTTTTTCCCAAATATTTTGTTCCAGCATCTGGTATCCCCTGGACCAAGAGGAACCTACTCACCCATCACTGTGTCCAGACCTGGATACAATCAGTCTCCTGGTTTCAATCCTTCACCCGGATACAATCCTCCTCCTGGATACAATCCTCCCCCGGGATACAATTCAGGACCAGGATACAACATGAATCTAGGATACGGACCAGTTTATAATCCACAACAAGGAATAAAACGAACAAAATAAAACTAATCTTTCTTTTCCAACTGAAGTAGAACGTTGATAGAAAGTCGTCTTAAAAATGAGCGGCATTTATTTCCAATCTTCAAAAAGAAATGTTTTCTGCAAAATCTACAAATCTTTTTCTTATTCTCAGAAACCAGTGACCGAATTTATATAATTACATACATAATGTTTTGGGATTCAATGAATTCTATTAGTTGTAAGTATCTTGTTTATATTTAAAGTATGACATGAATAAAGTTTAGATGAATAAAAAAGTTGATCAAAAACAATTTCAGGTTTAAAGTATATTCTCATGTTTTATTGACTGATCGTTAAAAGAGCCTTTAACTAAAAAAAACAAGTATTCGTTTATATAAAACATATTGAAGGATTTGGACCATCTCCAGGGCCTGTATCACCTATGGGAAGGTATGGGAGCCCAGCTAGGTTAGATATTTTTTAACTAAACAAGCAAAATTAGACTTATCGTCTTACACATCAATAAAATTCATTTTTATTAGTAAAACGAATGTTCTGAAGGCATAAAAAAGGTTTAAGTAATGGGGGTGTGTTCTTTTAGAAATAATATGATAATATATGTTTAGTTTAATAAAAGATGATTGTAAAAGAAACCTTTTACTAAATTTCAATTGAAAAAATATCCGATGTAAAAAGTCTGTTGGATACTTTAGACTATACACTTCAAGGTTTAGGCCATTTTTTTTATGAAAAGAAAGCTATTTGGGGAAAAAATTGAAATATAATGTATTCTAGATCGTTTGAATGGGGGTTTCCAGGTTTCCCTGGACCCGGAGGGGGAGGTGGCCCCCCTGGTGGACCATCATCCGTTGCTCCTGCTACAGCAGATCTTATTGCTCAGCAGTCACAGGTATAATTAGCAGTGGCGTATATAGGGGGGTTATTGGGGTTATTCACCCCCCCCCCACCTATAATCCTGGGGGACCCCCCCTAGAATCTTGGGGGCAATTACCCCCCCCCCTTCCAGAATCTTGGGGACACAAACATCTCCGTTTAGAAACTTGATCTCCATTCTCCATGTCCATGATTACCATTATAGGAGGAAAAATGTAAAAAAAACATGTTGGCGCTACGCGCAGATAATTTTACTCAATCAACTTTAACAAGTTAACGTATAGATAAATTTTACCAAAGTTTTTAATGCATTAACGTACTTGCACTAAATGTCAAATTAGGTATATAGCTCTTCCGGGGGTGGGGGGAGTAAAAAGTTTAATGATCAAGATTATTTATAATTAAATTTCCGTTTTAATTTTCCAAAGTAAACTTTTTTTTGACGTTTTGAAATATATTATAGTATATGAATAAAAATCAATAAAGCAATGCACTGAGTTTCTCAAATATTCAACGAGTCGGTTTTTCTTACAATATATTTATATACAAAAGATGCAAAATACAAACTTTAAATCGAACGATACTAGTACAAACTAAATATTATGAATCAATCAGTTTCGTCAAATAGGGGAATTCTTCAAGGGAACCTTAATTCAAGGGAGCTGAATCACAACTGCCTTTTTTCCCTCTATTTCGCTCCACCCTTAGTTCGCATTCTACCCCACGCCCTGTGAGCTGGCCGGCCAGCTCACTAGTTCCCGGGTTCGGAGATAACGGATTTCTCCGCGTGGCTTGGGTTAAATATAGAAACCAAACATAAACAAGAAAACCCGTTAAATATCAGTAAACGGTGGGGGGGGGGGGGAGGCAAAATGGGGTTGAGTGCGAACGAAGGGTAAAAATAATGATAAACAAAATGCTATTTACAGTCGCAGGAAAGATCAAAACATCATTTTCCTGCTACAATATTTATGCATGAGTTTAATGATATAATCATTTTAGGATTATGTTGATGAAGATCTTGCAGCTTTTCAGGCACAAATCTCACATCTGCAAGGTAAGCAAATCAAAATTTGTGTAAATATGATAGCATAACCATATATACACGCAATTTACGCATATTGCGTAAGAAATATTATACATATCAAAAAATAGTATCTAACAATGCAATTGTACAAACATAAGCATATGAACAATTCAATTTTACATTTTACAAAATTATTAATTACATATACATGTATAAAACCATATCACAAGAATGTAATCGCACAAACATATCACAAAAAAATTTAGCATATAATAATAAATCATATCATTTCATAAAAAGATTTATTTTTACAACATTTATCTTTTGTACAGATATACTTTAAAAATCAACTAATATTCATTATCAATATTTGGAAATGTGTACTATGTAGATACTTTGCAGAATGTTATACATATGTATGTATATATTTGTAACAAGATGCCCTGTTACAGTAAACATATTTTGAGATATTTATATATATTATTATGTAATTGAATGTATATATTTGTAACAAGATGCCCTGTTACAGTAAATATATTATGAGATATTTATATATATTATTATGTAATTGAATGTATATATTTGTAACAAGATGCCCTGTTACAGTAAATATATTATGAGATATTTATATATATATTATGATGTTATTGAATTTCCAAAATTAAAATATCAGAGGAATCTGATTAAGATCGGAAAATGGAAGGACAATGTCAATTTTACAATTTAAAGTGAAGTATTAAACAATGTACTAATGTTATGTTAAATATTCTTTTCAACTGCAGTTTTTACTTGCATTTAAAGGGCATGGGGAGGCCCTTTTCGTTTTTGGATTAGTACAATTACACAGTGTTATAGAAACTTTAGAAGAACCACCAATTCTTTTCGGCAATAATGAGTGCTATAAAATATTGGATTATAGATCTTAATTACGGTACGTTTAGTCTGTTTTCTCTGTGAAATATCAAGACCAAATTTAAAGATGCATTAAACGTAAAGAATTAGAATAAAAAATATAAAAATGTTCTATTCTATAATCTGAATATTCAGTATGTATTAATCAGAGTCATGTTTCTAAGATATCTATAAATAGAGTCAGTTTCCTTTAGAAAGATTTAGTGATCATTTCTTGTTGGTTTAAACTTTAAACTAGAGGAAAATGCAGAAATAGAATTTAACTGAAAAAGAGTATCAGATGTGACAAATGAAAACATCCAGAAAAAACATGTATTAAACTTAGTAAAAACAGGGTTATCCACTATCCAGTTTTGGAACTTTTTTCAATTTCGCTAAAAGTTCTTGAAAATTATTTATTACGCGATTATTTTCTAATTTTTATTTATGAGTCTAAAAATCTCAAAACGGGATCAAATTACGATTTCGGCTTTTGTCTCAGTAAGCTGAGACTTTTAATCAAAATTTCACAAAGGAATTGACTCTTTGTCACAAACTCTGAATTTATAATCCCTATGTCTTTGGAAATGGAACCCAATGTCGTACATCTTTGATATTTCAAAACTTATATCATTTGATCTAAAAGAATTCATTGTTTGAAATATCTAAGGTCTACGACATTGGAATCTAAAGATATACGATTTAGAAAAGTAGAGTTTGTGGCAAAGACTCATTCCTTAACCATAATTTTTTGCTTTAAAAAATCCTTTTACTGTCGGCGAATGCGTTTATAATAAACCAGTATAAAAAACTACTTGTAAGTTTGAAAATTGTTGTGTTCTAAACCAAAACAGGATTGAGTTTAAATTGAAAAAGACCGAACACATCTCGCCCTGGTTATAGTCCAGGGTGACTCACATCACATACATCTACAGTAGTTTTGTGTAAAATTAGTATTATCAGTTTTATACGTAAACAAATTATTATTTTTAACACCAAATTGTAAGTTCTGCCGATAGATGACAGTGTTGAATGTAAACACCGGTATATTTGAAGCCACCTGGTGGCGAACCTTAGAAGCTCCGGTATTTAATAAAATGAACCGAAAAACTCAGTTCGCTGTGGAACTCCACAGTACAACAAGGAGATCCAAGTGAACAAATTTACAGTGTAATGCACTCATTTTCTTCTCATTTTTTAAAGTGACAATAGTAAAAGTGATTAAAATAGGTTTCAATTGAATATGTTACATCTAAAAATAAAAAAACGGAAAGTAAATATTTGTGTTTTGTGTAATAAATATCATGTTTACCAGAACAGCTGACTTCACGTCCGAGCATGGATTTTGAAAATACGCTGAACATAAAATGTTTTTGTCATTAATGCGAATTTTCATCAAGAGGACAATAATAAAGTTTGAAATAAATATTATGATTTCAAACAGAACAAAAACTCAAATTAACTAAAATGTAACAAAAATAAACCATAATTTATATATTTCCCGATCAACCCTGCAGTTTATATCCCGGTCAACCCTGCGGTTTATCTCCCGGTCAATCCTGTGGTTTATGTCGCGGTCAACCCAGTGGTTTATCTCCCGGTCAACTCTCCGGTTTATCTCCCAGTCAACACCCTGAGGTTTATCTCCCAGTTAACCCTGCGGTTTATCTCCCGTTCACCCAGTAATTTATCTCCCGGTTCACCCTATGGGTTATCTCCCTGTCAACCCTGGAGTTATCTCCCAGTCAATCCTCTGGCTTATCTCCTGGTCAACCCTGGAGTTATCTCCCGGTCAACCCTGTGGTTTATCTCCTGGTCAACCCTGCGGTTTATCTCCTGGTCAACCCTGGAGTTATTTCCCGGTCAACCCTGTGGTTAATATCCTGGTCAACCCTGTGTATATCTCCCGGTCCAGCGGTTGAGGTTTTTATCCTGGTCAGGACTGTAGTTTATCTCCTGGTCAACCCTGTGGTTGTATCTTCCGGTCAACGTCATTACATGTAGATAAACAGTGGAATAGTTTATCACACAGTTTTATATCTATTTCTTGAGACAGGAACATCAGATAGATGTCTTATAGGGATCGTTCAACTCCTGACATTCTCAGGTTTCATCCTATACCCCCTTTCATTTTTCCTTTACAATCCCTTTAAGATGTCTTAAGTCGTCGTATTAATATTTCAACATTAAACAATCCCTATCTCAACCTCCTTAGCTGTATTCGCATTGGTATAATGCAATATAATCCTACCCCCTGCTAATTTCAATCCACTGGTAAACGGAAACCATGGTGGAGTATATCTTGGAACTTATTCATTCTACATTCAGATAAATACTGGTCTTACGCCTCTAGACGTACAAATATAGGTATATTTATCTATATATATATATATATATATATATATATATACTGCAATATAATCTGGTCCCTATTTCATTACCAAATCATCATGATTTGATGGGGCAGTAGTTAGCGTGTTTGATTCATAATCTAAGGATTCATGGTTCAAGCCTTTCAACTGCAAAATCAAAATCTGACGAATAGAGCCATACTGACGAAACACTGTGTCTATGGATATATATATGATACATTTAATGTGGATAAAAAACTTTAATGACGTCAAAAATTCCGAAACTAGCTACTTGAAAAAAAATATCTCTTGATTCCCTTGGTCCGAGGTTTTGATTTAAAACTTTTTAAAACTCTGTGTTGCCTAGATTTCAGCTTCAGACATAAACATCATGTCTTTGACGGGTTTAATATCACTCTGTGTGTCAGTGTGCATTGGTCTTGGTCCTAGGTCTAGACGAAAATTCACATGTTAAGATTAAAAGTATATAAATACGTCGAACGGCGGACTGAAATCTGATATACTTGGCGGTTTTAAATAGGGGTCTTCATAACACACTACAGCTTTATCTTCTTATGGATCCGAAATCTTCAACATTTTTATATTAATAAACTTCAAGATATTTGCATATTTTATCTCACAAATAGGGCTGGTCGATAATAATCATAGCCCTGAAAAAATATGCATCTCCATGTTAAATTATGAATTATTAATAAACCTAAAAAACCTTAACTGTTTTGATTAAATTAAGTTTGCATTTAATGGAATAATAAATAGATTTAGAATAGCAAAAAAACCCTGCTTTGTTTTTTGAAAATTTTCAAGTTAAGGGGAGTGAACGAAACTTAAGGAAAGAACTAACTAGTTTAAACTAAATCAAATAGAAATAGTATGATTGAAAATCAAGTTTTAATTTAGAATTGAAAATTAAGAAAAGCAATATGTTTGATTGATAAATTCCTTGTATTTTTAACAAGAGGGGGGGGGGATATAAGCCATATACTTCATTAGCGTTTAAAAATTAGAGGTATTCTAAAATCAATTTTCTGAATTGATTATTTGTAGGGTTGTGGAGGGGTCGGAGGGGTATAAAATATAAGGTATGGAAGAGTGTTGTGCAGGGGGANTAAATTATAATCACGAAAACGAGTTTATTGTCGGAATATCAAAACTGCACTGGGGCACTGGAAGGTTTCGACGTTTTACTTTCACTTTTGTCCCTTTCGAGGTATTATTATTTTTTTTCATAAAAACTAAGAAAATTGGATATTTGAAATAGATCAAAATTAAGATTAGTTAAAGTGTTTCATATGTTGCCATCTATCTATCTGCAGCTGTCTGAGTTGGTTTGTATTTAATATTTGATTTAAATTCAAACATTTTAAATTATTCCTTTGTGGAAAGATATGGATGTAATTTTTTCGCCGAATTCCACTCCCCCCCCTCTCTCTACCAACCCATTAAAACCTCTCTTTTATTGAAGTCTGACTTTTTGAATATTTGAATTGATGAATAGTAGTATGGAGGTATTGGACCGTAAGTACAGTTTTATTGAATACTAGAAAAGGAGGGCTCGACGTGCCCCGCCTCTCAGCTAACATAGCTTCAGAGCTTTTGCGAATTAAAAAAAATCGCATACTGCGTTTTAAGAATATTTTTTTGTCATTTTAGAAGGACACGCACAATCAAACTAAATTCAAGATAAAGGGAAAAACTTAGCGTGTGAAAGTATTCAAACCGTAGCACGGTAAAATTACTAATAAAAAGATAACGTGTTTTTTATTGGGTAGAGTTTTAATTTTACTTTATTTGCATGAGTTAAATTATCATGGGAAACTCAGATTATGTTAAAATTAAGTAAAATATTCTTCACAGTTTAATGGAGTTGAAAGGATGTGTGTGTGGGGGGGGGAGGGAGGGTTGTCCATTTTGCCAGAGACCTCTAAACCCAATATTTAATGAAAACACTCGGGTTTGTGTTGATAAGATTTTTTGCCTTATCATTTATTTGTTTTTCTTAGCACTCGTCATCATACACTCACATACTTAATCACAAGTCAAGCTACATCAATAAAAACTCAAACTATCAGGTTTTCAAATTGTCTATTGTAAATAAACATATATCTGTAAACATTATTTAAATATTATTTTTAACCTTTCACTCATTTTCTTCCTGTCTTCACATTTCATCTTCAATACAGTTTCCAATTACAGCATTATTTTACCGTTTACCTTCCTCTTCTATTTTACCGTTTACCTTCCTCTTCTATTTTACCGTTACCTTCCTCTACTTTTTCTTCCTATCCTATCAAAATTTCTTTTACATATGTTTCTTCTTTCTTCCGTTCTCCTTCCCTTCTACCATTTTTCCCATTCTTTTACTTTTCTTTCTTTAGTTTTTTTCTCTTTTTTCTTATACCTCCTCTTTTCAACAACCCTCTATTAATTCTCTACTCTTTCCATCTTTCCTCATCCGAGTACAATATGTACAATATAGTACTACACTTTATACTTTTTGTAATCTATAGATTTTATTAATCGTTTTATCATTTACATTATACAAGCCACTCCTTTCTTTAACAAAAAATCAGTAAGGATTCCTAGATAACACGCCTTGATGGACCAGGGGGGTCTTATTTCAGTGTGATGGTTACAGTAGATTGATAAACTCAAAACAAGATTTTCTACCGTCTAAATTTTCATTTTTAGCTAATCTATTTTATTATCGTTTCCCTGCATTAATTTTAATCTTTGAACATTTTTCTGAGGATACAGATGTTAAATGTTTTTTTAGAAGCTTCTTAGCTTTAAGCGATAAAAGTGACTTTAGTTTCAATAACAACGTCTTGCATAAAGTTTATTTTTAGATTTCATGAAAACTATCATGAAACTGATGAAAGTTTAGATTTCATGAAAACTATCATGAAACTGATGAAAGTTTAGATTTCATGAAAACTATCATGAAACTGATGAAAGTTTAGATTTCATGAAAACTATCATGAAACTGCTGAAAGTTTAGATTTCATGAAAACTATCATGAAACTGCTGAAAGTTTAGATTTCATGAAAACTATCA